GGGAGGGAGGGAGAGAGAGAGAGAGAGGGAGGGAGGGAGAGAGAGGATCTAAGCCTCATCCACGGCTGAAACCAAGCACTGTTTAGTACCTAAACATGGGACACATGTTTGGTGTTTGCTTTTTGCAATGGTTTTACCACAAATAATTTTAGTAACCTTCTTAAACACAATTGGAGGTCCACTTAATTCTTACTTCATTTTCAAGAAAAGCAATATATGACTTGTACATGTCAAAAATAATTTCACTAAAATACTCAATTTTTATGTTATAGATAATCTTTCAAATGTAGAACACTAGTATGCCCCTCCATTAAAATTAAATTTTGAGTCAAAATATATTTTGGAATTGTGTGTTTTTTTAATAAGAATTTGTGGTAAAAAAAGAAGGAAGAGTTTTGAATTTACGTGTAATATTATTTTAATGGTGAATGTGTGATTGAAAAGAAAAAGGAAAAAAAATATATTTTGAATAAAATAGAGCCCAAACAAGAGATGTTTCAGAAATTTTAACTTGAGCATTAGAAGATAATTGTTGGGATATGATTTGATTTTTGGGTAAAGCCACCTTGACAAAATATATTAACAGATGCTTTGACAGAATTAATGTTGGCAAGATATGATTTGATGAAAAAGTTGACTGTACTTTAAACAGTTCAATAACATGATATCATGTGGCAGTATGTTAACCATTATGTTAGTGTAACATGATTATTGATTTTTTTCCTATGAAACTTGGTTGTTGTCGAGGAAATTTTGTGATATCAAAATTGTGAAATTGTATTTTTGATTTAAAAAAACACATTTTTACAAGTTGTAGCAACTTATTGTGAGATGTAGCCACATCAAAGAGAGAGGCCCGTTGTGTCTTTTGAAAGTGTGATCAAGAACTTGGCGATCTATGATTTATGTGTTGGCTAGAAACTATTGTATAGAGAAGAGGAGTGTTATCAGCGCCGTAGTGTCTAGTGCTTGAACATTGGCTCGAGGCATTTTCTCTACCCCTTCTTACCCTAAAAAAGCATGGGCACCTTGCATTCCTGAACCGATAACCAGCTTTCGGCAAGTTGCTCTCCATTTCTGAGTTCATAACTTTCACGGTAGCTCCAACGATATTACTTATCAAATACAAAAACTGTTCAAGAGGACAATCTAATTTTTCAGAAAGGATCAATTGAAACCCTGCTAGTGGAGGAAGGCCTCCTAGGGATAAGAGACATAGAGCTAAAGAGAGAGGCAAAAAGGGATCTTTCGTGTATGAATGTCTTTATCAACAAGAGAATAATGACTTGTTTGTGGTTTTTATTTTACGAGCCTTTGTGGCTTACTTGGAGTATTCGGGAACTACAATTTGTACCCTTTGTTGCCATTTTGGCTGATCATAGGGCTTAGAGCATTATCTACCTTTGTGGAAGTTGAATTAAGTATTGGAAGTGGTCACTGAACCTCTGGAGTTTCGATAAAAAAAAATTGTGTTCTTTCTTTAATTTCTGTAATTTTTATTTATAGTCTTCGATGAACGTTTTTGATTCTTATATACTTTGATCTCTGCATAACAGTTGAAAATAATGACCTAAACAGTTGACAAACAAACATAGTTGAAAATATCTATGCAATTGTGTAGCAATGTTTCAAAGGGAGGTAGATTTTACAAAATAGTCAATTCTATGTAAAATATTTGTACTATTTTTGTTAATGGAGGGGTCCTATAAATGGGACATATACGGCATTTGTCCTTGTTGAGGTTGGGTTGCTACATTATTGGCTTCCACTCGATAGATTCTTATTATTTAAATGATGGAATAATTTAGTGAATTTTTCTTTGGTGGCAATTTCACATCTTCTAATGTTGCTGCAAAATAAATTTCAATGCAGATACACTTATTATTCTTGCTTTTAATAAAATGAGAATACAAACATATACTCTCCGGTCCAACTTTCACTTTTTGAAAAAAAAATAAATAAATAAAATTCCTACTTCGAGTCTTCGACTTACCTCAACCCGTAGAATACTTATTTTTTAAAGATTATTAGTGCAATACGAGAATCCAAACATAAAAATCACACTAATATAAATGCAATCAATATTCAAGAAAAAATTATTAATTTTAACTAAAATATATAATAAACGCACTCTAGGGATACACGAATTCTCTATTAATTCTATATTGATTCATATTTTTAAATTATTTATACAGACTTAATTCACTTTTACTCACATATTTGAAATATTTATAAACATTATTTGCTTATATTCCGCTCTTTTTGGTTTATTAATAGCTTTAAAATAGGAAAAATTGTAGTCGAGGTACCAAACCTTTCGTTTATTAGCAGACTTTGCCCAAACCTTTAGTTTGTACCACCCACAGTCCCAAACCTTTCAAAAATATGCACCGGAAGTTCAAATGGATGGAAACCGTCCGTTTGACCGTTAATTGACTAGAAAAGTCAAAATTTGACCAATTTGGACCAAATTAAAAAGTAAAGCGGTACTTTGCATTTTTTTCTTAATATTAGTAATTAAAATAATTAATAATAACAATAGAAAAGTAAAAACAAAATAAAAATAAATACTGTTCATCTTCATCTTCACTCCACCCCGCCCCACCCCACCCCAACTGTTAATCTTCATCTTCGCCCCACCCCGCCCCGTCCCGCCCCGCCCTACCCTACCACACCCAACCCCAATTCTTTGAAGAACATTGCATTATCTACAAATTGAATCAAATCCCAAATTGAATTAAGTAATTGTAACATATACCTCCAGTCCTTGGGTTCCGAGTTTCACTCGTGGCATGTCAAATTGTTCGGCCATTGCTAATTTCGTCATACTTCTTAGGGGCAGAGCCTCCGAGGGAGGCCAAGGCCATAGTCAGAGCAGTAATAAGAGTGGTCTTTCCATGGTTGACATGGCCAATGGTTCCGATATTGACATGCAGTTTCTTCCGCTCGAATTTTCCCCTAGTGGCCCTGACAGTAAATCGTTGGTGGAGCCCGGTTGGGGCGACGGAGGGATTGACCAAAAGGGTAGATAAAGAAGGGGTAAATGAAGAGGAAAATACAATTTTTGTGGGTTTTGAAGAACTGGAAGCAAGGGACGTACTCGAGGAAGAAGTCGGGGTGTAAGCGTATGCAAGTCTTGTAGAGGCCACTGCGGTGGCTGAAATTGAAGCCATAGATGAACGGTTATGTTGAGAAATCGGAGAGCAAAAATGGAGTTTGTAGATGTATTGTTAGAGTCAAGTACCACTTTGCCCTTTTTAATTTGGTCCAAATTAGTTAAATTTTGACTTTTCTAATCAACTAACAGTCAAATGGACGGTTTCCATCCATTTGAACCTGTGGTGTATATTTTTGAAAGGTTTGAGACTGTGGATGACACAAACCTAAATATTTGTGTAAATTCTGCTAATAAACGAAAGGTTTGTTACCTTGGCTGCAACTTTCCCTTTAAAATATGTGATTCCTCCTCCTGAGTCAATAAACAGACACGGATGGGATCCAGCTCATATAAAATCAGAATTTATTTCGTAGATTTTTCGAGGAAAAAAAAATAATTTCCTTTTTCTTCAAACATCCTTTTCAAACAGGTACCCCGCCCCCCTTTTTCTCAAAAAATAAATAAATAAATAAATAAAATAAATAAAAATTTCCACTCGAAAAAAATCCTCTTCTCAAGCAAAGCTCTCACTTGAAGCAGGTGTCACGGGGTCAACCCGTCGCTATTGGCAATTTATATTCCGATCTTAAATTGCAGACAGCATCGTAAAAGGTAGAAGCCAATTCAGTTCTGATCGCATTGGAAAATGGCGAAATCTGGTGTTTTCGCATCATCTTTGCAATTCCTCTTCATCACCGCCCTCTTATGGGTATCATTTTCCGTTCCAGTTGATGCAAAAACCAAATCACCTAAAGGTTTCGTTAAGAAGGCCATCTCTTCTCATTCCATCGTCATCTTCTCCAAATCTTACTGCCCGTATGACTCTTTTCCCTTAATTGAATTTTTGTACCTTTGAAATTATTCTTTATTTTAGTTTTTCCGTGCGCTTTTTACATTGTACTATCAGTTTCTTTGTTTTGAAATTTGATGCATAGATATGTTTTGAAGGAGTGAAATGGGAACTTTCTTGGAGAGATTGTGATAAAGGAATTTTGACTAATTCAGGAGGAACCCATCGATTATTAGTTATGAGCTATTGTGGAAGTGTAAAGCTGAGTTAAATTTATAATTAACGACTTAAAATTTATATATAATAATAATAATAATTAACGACTTAATTACGAATTAAAATTTATATATAATGTAAAATGACCCAAATACCCTTGATATTACTTGGTCATACATGAAAAAGGGCAAAATGGACTTTTATCACATTTGGTGCAAAATGGTGCAAGACTTGGTGTTGGATTGGAGTGGTATATTTGGTGAAAATTGGTGATTTGGTGTTAAGGTTGGAGATGCCCAATATGTTCAAAACTAAGAAGAATATAGGGATATAAACGTGTCACTAACGGGATGATGCTGGCAAGGATTTCGTGGGGCCATAACGGCAATATTTTTCATTCTCATTCTTACCAAAATAGGAAACAAACGGGGCCTGAAAATGTTAATTCACTGAGGCCTATCTTTGAAAATTATTTCTGGATAAAGAGGTCCTTTATTCTTCTCAACTTCCTAAATTTTCATCTAATGTGGCAATAACATTGACAAAACCAGCTGGCTAATGTGCGTGCACATGACTAAATGACCTTTGGATTTAACTAAAAGATGATGACAAGATTACTCCTGTTCATTTACACCCAATGTACTGACTAGAAAGAGACAAGTCGAATGCATCAACTTGTTTAAGCTGACGCTATGCACTTCATCAGCTAAGATATGTCAAATTTTCCCTTTTAAATTTGGCATTTATATCAAAGTCATGATGTGCTGTATGATGCTTGTTGGAATGCAATTTTCGTGGGTATGTACGAACACCTGTTCTGCTTATTTGCAAACTGTAATGTGATTGGAGAAATTTCATACAGTGAACCGAACTAATCCAAGAAATGCTAATAACTTTCTGAAAAAAGCTCCAAATTTGGGGCTAAACTTAGCCTGTATAGGCTGTATTCAAGCAACTTGATCGTTCATGCTAGTTCCATTTCTTAAGCTGATTTGACTTCAATTTTTGGAATATTTGACGAACTTCTTAGAATTTTCGAAAGGCTTAAGATGCTCAAATTATTTTTGTAATCATTCATATTCGTATGTTGACAGTTTTCCTTTTATAAACTTAATTTCTTATAGATACTGTAGACGGGCAAAGGCTGTTTTTAAAGAGCTGAAGCAAGTGCCATATGTTGTTGAACTTGATGAGAGAGGTTTGTCCAGTTATTTATCATAGTCTCTTGATTTTTCTAATATATTAGTACCTAGACAACGTGGAGTGGGGCAACCGAACTGTAAGGACTGGTAATAATTTCATTGAATCAACAATTATGCGGGTTAGCAAGATGAAGAAAATGACATTTGAATGAATCCCTTATCAGATTGTATTATTACATTCCTTTCCCTAATTAAATTGTTGACTTGCTGATTGCATTCTTTTATGTAATAAGGACAAACTTCCAGATTGAAATACCTGTTGGTTAACCTGGTTCCACACACTTCTTCTTTCTAAGTAGATGAAAGCAGAATTTGTACCAGGGCTCTTCAGTAAATTAAGAAAATGAAAACACTCATTCGAGGGGATGGGTGAGCAGGAAGTCAAAAAGAATTACCCTAATGAGGTGTTGGGACGATGCTGGAACTTCGGGGACGTTAAAAAGCTGCAACTCAAGGGAATTTACTAGTGTTGTAGAGTTGCTCTCTTTATTATAGGTTTCTAAGCCTGTATGTTTATATATGCAGATGATGGTGGAAACATTCAAGATGCCTTGAGTGAGATTGTTGGTAGGCGTACTGTCCCGCAGGTATTCATTAACGGAAAGCATCTGGGAGGCTCTGATGGTATCTTATATCTCAATGTTCAACTTGTAATAAATTCTCTAATCATACATTTCTTTTATAACGAGTTACTGGTTGCAGATACTGTCGAAGCATATGAAAATGGTGAACTGGTGAAACTTCTAGGTATCGCGACAACAGAAGAGGAAGATCTTTGAGCTAGTAATAGTTCAAATTTTAGATGACTGAAATTATAAAGTTGATTCAGATTTTATCTGGCAACCATTTAGTTGAAGTACAGTAGCTGAACAATGTTGCTTCTTACTTTCTTGCTTTTGTACTCGCCCTCGATTCCTTATGAAATGACTTTTATTTAGTCTTCCCTGTGAATTTTTCAGCACCCTCATTCGATACCAATTCTCTTCATACATAATTTTTTTTTTTTTTTTTTTTTTTTTTAATTTTTTAAAAAAAAAAAAATTCTCCCTTAATATTTTTCTTTTGGATAATTTTTTTTTTTTTTTTTTTTTTTTCAAATTTTGTAAGTTTACAGGTTGAAAGTCTTGCCAATGTGAAAGCAATTCTTCATTATCAAATCATTTTCATTATCAAATCATTGTAAAGAAAGTAGCGTAAATGGTTGAAAATTTGTCAGATAGTTTGATAGCAACGTGTCACACTTTTATGTACATTATATCGTATCATATTGAACAGTCGAGTCGAGGGGACTTATGGCTATGATTATTTGTGTCTCGTAAAATTGTAAAGTCGGTCTTGAAAATTTATGAAAAGACATCTAATTTGGTCCTCGACTAATTTATTAACCTCAATGGCATTCGTCATTAAACAACGGAGACTTGCAATGTCGAAGCCAAATTTTTTTAACGTCTAAAATGGTCATTTTGTCAAGTCCGTTGGCCACATATCAAACGTTTGTGTAGGATATGTAATAGATGGATGAATTTTACATTGAAGTTTTTGGCAATAAAATATGTTTTAACCCAACAAGGTGTGGCAGTATACATTTTTCTCTAATTATTTGAAGTAACTAAAAATTTATAAATTGCATATACAAGCCCTTCCTAAAATATTCAAACAAATCAAATCATGTACTCTCTGGATTGGATTGAGCAGTACAATAGATGATGTTAACTTATGTCTATTCCACCTTACCAAACATGTCATTAGTCTACTAGACACACTCGTCTCCACCACCTCCGTCATGGCTCTCACCATTTTCTTTGCCGAGCTTCGACTTTGATATTGAGAATGGAGGTTGTCGTGAAGAAATTTTGGCCGACTGCTGCGATTGCAAGTTAAGGTACGTGTAGAATGACATACCAACAAGAGCTGTAGCTGCTCCAAGAATGCTAGTTGTTCCAGG